GAGAGAGAGAGAGAGAGAGAGAGAGAGAGAGAGAGGGGGAGAGAGAGAGAGAGAGAGAAGAGAGTTACCTACCTAGATGAGGATGCTGGTATTGGGTTGCTGAACTCTGCGCTGTTGAGCGCTTGGTGACTGGAACTCCGAAACTGTTTAATATGATAATTTGTTGGAATTTCTAAGCTGCGCGTATCTGGAGTTTGCATCTCTGGACTCCAGTGTGGATTTTGTGTGATCTCTCAATGTGTGTGTGTGCTCAAGGTGTCGAGCAGTGAGGCTCAATGCAAAATAATAAAATAACAATAAATAATAAAATAAATTTAAATCTTAAGTTAAATAAATAAATAAAATAATAATTAATAATAGAATATCTACACCTACTATTATAACTGCTAAACATCATATCGCACGGCCAGAATTGCAGGCCGGTCACCACCGCGGACGGCACGGATCGCAGGCCGATCAGAAAGTTTTCTGATCAGCCTGCGATCTGGCCCGTCCGCAGTGGTGACCGGCCTGCGATTCCGGCCGTGCGATATCGGATTTCGGATTCTGCCGGTTGCTACCGGAAGCCCGCCCGTTTTCTTTTTTCCAGCTGCCCACCCCTCCAATCTAATCGCGGCCCACCACGCCCACCCCTCCAAGCACTCGGTCGCCAGTTGGTACCGGAAGCGCCGAATCGTCCGATCGCCCGCCCCCCCGTTTTTGTGTTGCCGGCACACCCCTCCAATCGCCCGCCCGGCCGTTTTTGTGTTGCCGGCGCACCCCTGCAATCCCCGCCCATTCGTTTTTGTGTTGCCGGCCACCCCTCCAATCGCCCGGCCACATTGTTGTTGCCGGCCCACCTCTCCAATCGCCGCCCACATTGTTGTTGCCGGCCATTTCTCCAATCGCCTGCCAATTTCCGAACGTGCGCCTTTCTGAACGTGTGCATGTGTGTGCTCCGTGGTCGGTGCGCGTGTGCTCGGTGGTTGGTGCTCTACCTGCGTGGTGGTCCGGGCTCTCTCTCTCTCTCTCTCTCTCTCTCTCTCTCTCTCTCTCTCTCTCTCTCGACGGGTAGTCCTCATCGTGTGCTTTTCGTGGATCCGTGCTTTTCCTGCTCAACATTCGTGCTCTCTCTCTCTCTCTCTCTCTCTCTCTCTCTCTCTCTCTCTCTCTCTCTCTCTCTCTCTCTCTCTC